GGCATACGCAGGGCGTGCCCAACTTAGCGATAACTTCGCGGCGTTAATAGCGACGTCGCTAAAGACATATATCGCCATCAACGTTAGCAGAACCTGCCAATGTCATACGACTCAGTTCAAGGGAAGCATCAGCAGGAAGAATTAAGAAGGAAGCTCGGCAGGAAAATGCGGCAGGAAAATAAAGCAATGAACTCAACGGGAAAATGAAGCAAGACATTAAGCACGCAAAGTAAGCAGGAGCTTCAGCAAGCGAAGTAGACAGGGAATGCACATGTCGAAGTAAACAGCACCTGAAACAGGACACTATGCAGACACATGGAACATCAGGGGAAGAATGGAGCAGGAACATTTAAGCTGGGGAGTTTGAGGCAGCGGCGAAGCTTTCAAAATGGACCTGACAAAGTAACTATCTAGAAACATGATAGTCCTGGGTCGCGCCTAAACTTTACAGCACACTGCGTTTACTCTTCTAAGTCAAGCAATCTCCCAGGCAACCATACGAAAAGAAAACGAACAGCAAACCTCGAATCCCAAGCACAACGCTGTTTTCATCGAGTGATATGATGAGCTGATATCGGTATGTCATCCTACGTTGACGCCACAATGGGACACCTGGAGGTAAGCCCGCTAACTGCTCTCGTCATGGGCAGGGATCCGCCTCCATTCTACAGGACTCGCCTACGATGCATGCGACACGACGGCGCGTGGGCAGCGCGGCGCCCCACGGCACGCGATACTCAAACCAAGGAGACATGCATGCGATCAAAAAAAGACGAGGTGGGGGGGGGGAAGCAGGAAAGAACAACAATAAACGCTAAGAAAAACATGGGTCCGGAAAACCGACAATTTTGGATTAAGACTTCATAGCGTTGGTCTGAGTATCGTTTATCCGATCCCCATCCCCAGCGGCGTGGCCTGGGCCCCACTGGCCGATTTGCCCCCTAGATGGGGATATAGGTCGTTCCCTTCGGGTTTCGAGGAACAGGGTGGTAATCTGGTGGGGTCTCGAAGGTGATGGGGATGGGAATGGGGATCGGAGAAAGAATACTGATGGTCCGCCACGACATGCACCTTCGGGGCCCCAAGGAACCCCCTTTTTTGGTGCCCCTCCCGGGGCCCTTGCCTGCCACACCAACTCCCGCGCCCTCTCTATCGCCCCGCATCGCGAAGAGTCCGCCGAGAGGCTGACGCTGCGCCAGGACGCCACGTCGGGGGTCTGGGTCGGGATCGCACGAGCTCCCCGTGCCGGCCTCGCGGCTCGGCGGAGAAGGCTCCGCCCTGGTTCCACCACCGCCCCCAGGAGGATCGAGGAGCGCCACCGTCGAGGCGTGTGCAATGCTCGGCCATCTTTCTGGGACCGCAGAAAAAATCATCTGGAGCCCTCATCCAGAGGACTCCGCAGCCCTGCGCCTCCTCCTGAACTCCCCCACTCCTCCTCGGTCCTCCTCCTGCCTCACCCCTCCTCATCCTACGCACGGCTCCCCATCCTGCTCACCATCCCCCAGGCCTTCTCCCCCTCCCCCTCCCTCTCCTCTCCCCCAGTCCTCCTGTGGATTCAACCTCTACTCTTGCAAAAAATGATCGGCGCGCACTCATTTTTCCGTGGCAACGCCAGACCCATGGCACGAACGCCACAAAAAGCACGAAGATAGCGGCTTGAGCGCCGGCCTCAACCTCATGTGCCGTGGGCGCGAGATGGCAGAGCAAGGATGCGGATGGGAAGAGGAGAAAATGATGTAATGTTGGCCAGTCTCTTCCCCCTTCTCCTCCTTGCCCTCCTCCATGGGTAAACCACCAGGTACCAATACCGCTACTCCCCGGACCTCTCCTGAGGCGCATTCTGACAAAGATTTCGAAGCGAATCCAGCGGTGGCGGCGCGGGCCTCCCACGAGGCCCAAAAAGAGACAACACGGCAGGGGTAGCAATATGTTAAATATGGGTAACCGAGTGCCCCTGATAATCACACCCAGATAATAAGAAAATCCACGGCTCGGGAAAGATAACAAGCAATTATACTCCTGGCAACTCGCGTGCACCGTGGGCCTGTCACACGTTCGTAACTTGGGAAGGCTGAACTGGTGAGAATCCCATGGCTCTGCCACACGTTCGTGAATTAGGAAAGCTGAAACGGTAAGACTCCCGTAGCCCTGCCACACATTCGCTAGGAAAGCTGAAGTGGTGAGAATTCCAAAGCCCTGCCCCACGTTCGTGAGTTAGGAAAGCTGAAACAATGAGAATCCCATAGCCCTGCCACATCTTCGCGAGTCAGGGAAACTGAAATGGTGAGAACCCCAGTTCTCTTCCACACACTAGCTCCGATCCTCCTCGCCATCATCCTCCGTCTCCGACATCGGCGATGCATCGGCGACGCATCCTCGACGTCGGCGCGGAGGCAATCGGGCCCCGCAACGAGCCGCATGGGCGATGCATCGGCAATGCGGCGCGATCCTCCGAGCCCATCGACTCCGACCCCATGGGAGGCCACAGGCTCGTGCCTCGAGAAAGCCGAGATGGTGAGACGTCCACAGCCCTGCCACACGTTCGCGAGTCAGGAGAGCTGAAATGGTGAGAATTCCAGACGTAGCCCTGCCACACGTGCGGGGCGTGGGAAAGCTGAGACGGTGATCACCTCATGACCCTGCCACACATCCTCCTCCGATCCGCCTCGCCCTCCTCCTCGCCCTCCTCCTCTGCGCCCTCCTCCTCGCCCTCGCCCCCTCCCCCTCCTCCTCGCCTCCCTCCTCCTCGCCCTCGCCCTCCTCCTCGCCCTCGCCAGCCTCCGATCCTCCTCGCCCTCCTCCGCCCTCGCCCTCGCCCCTGCGCCGCTCGGCGCCCTCGCCGCCGAGGAGCCCCTCCGCCCCCCCAACCCCCCGCGGAAGGCCGTCCCCGGCAGCCGCCTCGTAGCTCAGGGGTGGGAGGACCTCCGCGGGGACGCTGAAGCCCTGGGCGAGGCACTTGGCCTGCGCGGGTGCGGTCGGGGCGTCGTGAAGGGGGTCTCAGCTGAACGGGGGCGCATCGGCGGCCAGCGCGAGGGGGGGGGGGGGGGAAGGAGAGAGGAGGTCTTCTCAGAAGGCCGCGGGACTTCTCAGAAGGCCCTACCCCTCCTCCTCCCTTTCTCCTCCTCCTCCGCCCTAAAGTAAAATCCCGGCCCATGTTTCTGTTCTGCCTCCAGCTAGTCCGCCAAGCACTGCAAAGCAATGACGAGCAATGTCAAGCAACGCCAAGCGGCAACTCGCAACGCCAAGCAGCGCCAAGACATGCCAAGCAACGCGAAACAACGGAAAGCGATGCAAATCGACGCGATACCGCGAAATGCAATGCAATACCAAACGATTCCAAGAAAGGCCGCTTCGGAAGCGTTCCCCAATTGGGGTCACGCAGGGCACATTGGTCGGAAAGGGGCCGGGGCAGGGGGAGGTAGGATGACGAGGGGGAGGAGGAGGAGGAGAAGAAGGAGGAAAGTCTCAACGGTCGACCGCCGCCGAACTTGTGGCCTCACTTGCGCTTTTCTTGCTCTTGCCCACCACGTGATGTAAGCCTCCGTCCCGTTGCGTCTGAAAGACAAACCTTATACCATCCTAAGCTACCTTCCACAGCTCAGAAGAAACTACACTACCTTGCGGCGTTGGGATACGCCCGAACAGTAGCAGACGATGACTGAATTGCGACACGAATCGAACTGAGACTGCACCCCAAACTACGTAAAGATACTGCTTGAGCCTTGACACACCGATTGCACTTACGCGGCTTCTCGCTCCCCCTCAAGTCCGGTTCACAGTCAGTGCGCCTTCAGCGATCATACACCCATGATTGTACGCGGCAGTCGGCCCTGTCTTGGCGTTGCTCGGCACTGAAGGGCGTGTTTGCTTGCGTTGCTCGCCACTGCGGGGCACTGCTCGGCACTGCTGCCTTTGTCTGACGCTGCTCGGCACTGCTTGGCGTTGCTCTTGTCCGCCGGCAGACTGGCTCGGGCGAGTCGGGCCGATCGGCGGCCTGGCTCGCGCGCTGATCCCCAACCGGCCCGCCTCTCAACCATGCCTGGTGCACAGTGAACGGCTGGCCCGAGTCCCGCCTCTCCCTTCCTGTCCATCCCCTCCTCCTCCTCCTCCTCCTCCTCCTCCTCCTCCTCCTCTCCTCCTCCTCCTCCTCCTCCTCCTCCTCCGCCTCCTCCTCCTCCTCCTCCTCTCCTCCTCCTCCTCCCTCCTCCTCCTCCTCCTCCCCTCCTCCTCCTCCTCCTCCTCCTCCGCCTCCTCGTCCTCCTCCTCCTCCTCATCATCACCCATCTTCCTCACCCCTCCTCCTCCTCCTCCTCCTCATCCTCCTTCCCTCCTCCTTCTCCTCCTCCTCCTCCTCCTCCTCCTCCCCCTCCTTCTCCTCCTCCTCCTCCCCCTCCTCCTCCTCCTCATCCTCCCCTCCTCCTCCCTCCTCCTCCTCCTCCTCACTCCTCCTCCTATCTCTCCTCCCTCCTCCTCCGCCTTCCTCCTCCTCACTCCTCCTCACCCCTCCTCCTTCCTCCTCCTCCTTCCTCCTCCTCCTCCCTCCTCTTCCTCCTCCCCTCCTCCTCCTCCTCCTCCTCCTCCTCCTCCTCCTCCTCCTCCTCGTCCCCTCCTCCTCCTCACCCCGCCGCCTCCCCACGCCGCCTCTCCAACGCAGCTGGGCACCCTCCCGGCTTCCGCAGAGGGCCCGGGAGGCGGCACCCCGGGAGGCGGCCCTCGACACCGACCCCCGGGACGAGCTCTGCGCCGCGCGACACTTCTCTCGTTGCGGGCCCCCGGAGCCCGGCACCGCTCGCCGCGGCGGAGGTAAAACTGTGTCTTCTGCGGCGCTGGAGGTGCGCTGACGTCCGTCACGTTCGAACCCCCCCCTCCATCCAGGGGGGGGAGGGGGGGGTCCTGTTCCAACCCCCCCCCTCCAAGCGACCACAGAAATGCGCTCTTTCTGACATCCGAAGACGGATCCCTTTTGATAGAACAACGGGGGCCGCCAGAACCCGAAATCGAAAAAAATAGGTCCGGGCTTGAAAATGAGCCCGGCACGAACCCAGTTAGGGACCCTCTTTCTTCTAAGCGCTTGAGCGCTTGGCATTGCCTAGAATCGTTGCTTGGCATTTGTGTGCGCATTGCTCCGTGTTGCTTGGCACTGCCTCTCGCTGCTTGGTAGAGCTTTGCGTGGCTTGGCGTTGCTTACCCAATAGTTACATGGCACTGCTTGGCATTACTCTGCATTGCCTGGAATCGGAGGTTGGGGGGCCAACATCGACACGAAACGGAGGCCCCGAACTGGGAAATTGGTTTCGGCTTCGTGTCGTGCGAGCGGGCGGGCGAGGCGAGGCTACATGGACGGGCGAAAGGACAGAACTCTCCGTTGCTGGGGCAAAACCGGGCCACATGATTCTCCGCCAGGTTGGCTGGCGGTGGCCCCAATTGACTGGCGGTGGCCTCGGGGGTGTCCCGATGGTGTCCCGATGGTGTTCTGATGGTGTCCTGATGGTGTACCGATGGTGTTCCGATGGTGTTCCGATGGTGTCCACGTGGTGTGCCGCTGGGGTTCCGATGGTGCCCACCTGGTGTCCCGATGGCGTCCACACGCATCGTTACCATGCATCGTCGCCGGCATCGACACCATCATATTCATCGCAACTGTCGTCAGCATGTTCCCCTCCCCCCAAACCTCCGATTCACCCGAGGGATGGTCCTATAGGCGTGTGCTTAGCATTGCCTGGTGCCGCAGGCCAGTGCTTGGCGCTGCTTGGCGCTACCCGGCATTGCGAGGCGACGCTTGGCATCAGCTTTGCATGGCCTGGCGCTGCATGGCTCGGCATTGCCTTGGCATTGCCTTGGCAACCCCGGGGCGCACCTGGGTGGCCTGGAGGACGCCCGGCCGTAGAGGGGCCCGCGCGCACGGGCTTCCTGCAGAAGCAGGTGGGAGCCTCCTCAGGGAAGGGTTCGGTCGGGCATGTCCCCCTACAGGCGGATTGTGGACGAAACATCAAAAAATACGCAAACAGTGCTCAACAATGGTTAAACAAATGCTCCAACAATATCCCCCTGAGCATTTTTTTGCTAATTTTGAATCTTCCTCGTTCAGGGAGGCACGCCCGACGGAAGGTAAGGCGACACGCGGTGGGAGGCCTGGGCCCGTGCCCGCCACCGGGATGGGACGCACAGAGACAGACCGATACTGTATGTCTTCCGTGGAGGCGCGCGTTCAAGCCGAACATATAGTATACCCACCATGTAGTGTATCGTTCCCCGAGCGGTGTGGCCAGAAAGCGCCCGCCACGACGCATATACCATAATATTTCTCGGTTCGCACGGGGGAGTATAAATATGTTGGGGAACCCGCCGCCGGGATGGGCTTCCCCGCTCATGGGCGGAGGCTCCGAGAGATGTTTGGGGTTTGCACGGCATGTTCTGAGAGCATGGGGAGGAAGAGTAGAAGGAGGAGGAGGAGGAGGAGGAGGAGGCGGCGAGAGAGGGGGGGGGGAAGAGGGGGAGGGGGAGTGAGAGGGGGAGGGGAGGGAGGAGGAGGCGGAGGTGAAGGAGGAGAGGAGGAGGAGTAGGAGGATGGCAGAGGATGAGAGGGGAAGGCGGCGGGGAAGGACGGAGGGGGAGGAGGAGGAGGAGGAGGAGGAGGAGTAGGAGGAGGAGTGAGGGAGGAGGAGGAGCGGCGGGAGGAGGAGGAGGAGGAGTTGGAGTAGGAGGAGAGGAGGAAAAGGGGAGGGGGGAGAGGGGAGGGGAGAGTGGAGCGGGGGAGGGGGAGGAGGGGGAGGAGGGAAGGAGGAGGAGGATGGAAGGAGGATGAGGGGAGGCGAGAGGAGGAGGGCGGAGGAGGAGGAGGGGAGGGGGAGGAGGCGGGGAAGGAGCAGGTGGAGGGGAGGAGAAGGGGGGAGGGGAGGAGGAGGAGGAGAGAGGAGAGGAGGAGGAGAAGGAGGAAGGAGGAGGAGGAGGAGGAGGAGGAGGATGAGGGGGAGGGGGCGAGGGGGAGGAGGAGAGGGGGAGGGGGAGGAGAGGGAGGGAGGGAAGGAGGAGGAGGGAGGCGGAGGAGGAGGAAGAGGAGGAGGAGGAGAGGAGAGGAGGCGGAGGAGGAGGAGGAGGAGGATAGGGGAAGGGGGGAGAAGGAGGGGGAGGACGGGAAGGAGGAGGGAGGGAGGAGGAGGAGGAGGGAGGAGGAGGAGGAGGAGGAGGAGGAACGAGCAGGAGGAGGAGGGAGGAGGATGAGGCGGAGGAGGAGGAAGAGGAGGAGGGGGGCCCGTGCCCGCCGACAGGAGGCGCTTCCCCGCCCAGCCTGGAGGCTCGGCAGGCTGCTGTAGCACAGCAGGCCCATCAGGGGCGGGCAGGAGAGCGCCAGCCACTGGGTGAGCAGCAGCAGGGTGGCGCCAATCTGCCCACCATCGCCCTCCTCCTCGTCCTCCTCCTCGTCCTCGTCCTCGTCCTCGTCCTCCTCCTCGTCCTCGTCCTCGTCCTCGTCCTCGTCCTCGTCCTCGTCGTCGTCGTCGTCCCCTCCTCTCCTTCCTCCTCCTCCTCCTCCTCCTCCTCCTCCTCCTCTCTCCTCTCAGTCCTCGTCCTCGTCCTTCTCCTCCTCCTCCTCGCCCTCGTCCTCCTCCCCCTCTTCCTTTTTCTTATTCTTCTTCGTCTTCTTCTTCTTCTTCTCGTCCTCCTCCTCACCCTGGTCGAGGTTGAGGAGCCCGAGGGGGAGGAGGCGGAATACTCTTGAGGTTTCGGCGAGGTCCTGAGTGGACGGAGTTCCACCTGCGTCCCCACCGGGGGCGTTCCTGCAGCGCGGTTCGCACCCCATCTCAGAATTCTCCACTGATCGCGCCTCCACTGAGTTCCCCACCTGCGGCCCCAGTGGGCGGGATCGCACGCGGGCCGACCGCCCAATTTCGAACACCCAGAACGCAGATCTTGCCACATAATTAGGGAGTTCCACGCGAGCTCCCTCCCATTTCGGCACTCCCATGTACCCTCTCGTCGCGCTGTGCGAAAATGGTACAAGGGAGTTGGTAGGAGGGGAATCTCTCCTGACAATGTTGGCTCAGGATGCGCAATTCCAGGATTCCCCGAATGGCATGGCCCTCGTCTTTGCAGCCCCGTTCGGAACATCCAAGAACCCGGGGAGTCCCAGAAATCCTCGAAATCATCGGGGACCCAAAGGGTACCGATATCGCTACTCCCCAGACCTCTCCTTGGGGCGCGTCCAGACCAGGACCTCGAGGCGTATCCAGCGGTGGCGACGAGGGCCTCACGGAAGGCCCCCCCAAAATGAAAATGCACCAAAGGATAGCAGCACGGGTACCATTTTCCTCCCCTGACTCTCGGAACGCATCATTCTGATGACCCCTTCGTCCTTCGAGCTGGGGCCTGCCGCCAACCCTTGGCGGCTCGCACGAGGGGGGTAGGGGGAGGAGGGCAGGCCTCTTCGAAGGAGGCTGCTTCTCAGAAGGCCCCGGCCCTACACCCTGCGAAATGCTTAAGAAATCATGGGTTAAGAAACTCAGAGTCTCAGAATTTGAATAAAAACCCAGAACTTCTATTAAAATCTTAGGATTTACATTGAAACGTTAAGAATAATCGAGACTCTGGCCGAAAATGTGAGTTTTCTTAAGCATCGCCTAAGGTGTACAAGTACAGAGACAAGGCCCGCGCCTTCAAAGGAACAGGGGCGCTTCTGAGAATTCCTCCCCCCTCCCCCGCACCCCCCCCTGCGCGTCGCCGGCCCACGGCCAAAGAAACCTCGGCACACACCCCTCGCTCGGGGGCGTCCACGAGGGGGGCGTCCACGAGGGGGGCGTCCAAGTCGTGGCCGGCGGCGTGTGCGCGGCCCAGGGGGGGAACCGGGGGCGTAGTGAAATAAGAGGAGGCGCCATGAACTCGGGAGAACTACCGTGGCCCCCGCCATGAGATCCCCCCCCCAGTCGTCACGCCCCTCTTTGCCGCCCCCGACGCGCACGCGCGGCCGGTGCCCCCCGACTACCCCGCACCCCGCTGGACCCCGCCCTGCCCTGCGCAACAGCGGGGCTGGGCCAGGACCCCGTCGCCGGGGCGGGGCGGCTCCTCTCTCGGCGGCGAGCGAGGGGGGGAAGCGAGAGGGGGCGGGCCTTCTCAGAAGGCTCGGAAGACCCCCGGCCTTCTGCTGAGAAGTCTACTAAGCCTTCCACGAAGGCGCAGAGAACCTCGCAGAAGGCGCGAGGGCTTCAGACAAGTCCGAAGTCCCACCGCCTTCTGAGAAGGCCTTCTTCTTCTCTCCCCCCCCCCCTCGATCGCCGCCGATCCTCTCTCGGCTCGCCGCGGGCCCACTTGGCCGGAGGCTGGCACACTCTTCGGCTTTTGCCAGAAGTACCCCTTGCTGGGGCCCCCTGGGCCTCGTGAGGGGTGCTCTGGAAACCGTCTGGGCCACCCCGAGAAGCCTGGGGGCGCCTTGGCCCAGGGGCGCTTCTGGCCACGCCCGAGCCCTGGGGGGCCCCGGCGCGAGGAGCTGCCGCCGGCTGGCCGCCCCGGCGAGCGGACCGCGTCACGCGCACGAGACGCGCGCACGCGCGCGCGCCGCGCAGCGGAGGGCCGCGGAGGGGTGGGCGAGGAGGGCCGCCGCGAGCGGGGGTGCAGGGCGAGGCGCGGCTTGATCCAGATCCGCCGCCCGGGAACCGACGTCCCGGGGACGGGCGGCGGAGAAGGATGTCGGGAGTGAGGGGGCCCAACGGTCATGCACTGTCCCTGGGCGCGTGGCTGACGTGAGGTTCCGCGGTGCGGATTGTCGCTGTTGTTTGTTGTGTGTTGTTTGTTGTTTGTCCATTGTCGTCGTCCCACGCGTGATCCGGCCCGCGAGCAATCCGCGACCCACTCTGTGACCCTCCTGCGTCCCGCCCGCGAACCACCCCGCGACCCGCCCGCGATCCACCCGCAATCCCCCCTGTGACCAACCCGCGACCCACCCACCCACCCATCCCGACCCACCCACCCACCAAAAGTAAGCGCCTGCGGCGGCCTCGTTGTACGTAATTAGCCCCCCGCAATTGCGGATAAGAGTGAGGGCGTGGCGGGGACGTCGGCAGTCTGCGAGGCTCTGAGAGAAGCCCGCCGCAGGCATTACATTTTTTACAGTTTGCACAACGAGTCCGCCGCAGGCGCCGATTTATTCGTTCAAGCAATGTCGGTGGCTCGCGGGCCGGGTCGCGGGCGGATCGCGGGTGGGACGACGACAAAAATTAGCGGATAGCAAATCACGCAACAACAAACAACAACAATAATCCGCACCGCGGAACCTCACCTCAGCCACTGGCCAAGGGACAGTGAATGACCGTTCGGCCCCCCCACTCTCAGTGAACTTTTCAAAAATAGGCGCCTGCAGCGGGCTTCTTCAGAACCTCGCAGACTGCCGACGTCCCCGCCGCCCCCTCACTGATCCGCAGCTTCGGGGTGCTACGTCACTTGGCTCCCCAAGGGCCCGAATACAGTTATGTCCACCGCCCGTAGAGGTCTGCGAACATTTATCTTCCAAGCGGCGGTTGTGCACAGATCCCCGCTGCGCGATGCAGGGCGGGCGGGGGGGGCAAAAATCCAGGGTGCCTGACTACAGGAAGAAGAAACAACATAATTATAACCTTTTGACGGTCCGCGCGGATTTCTTGGATCTGCGCTGGACCCCCCCTCCCTGGCGCGCGGAGCGCGCCAGGGGCGGCGCCGGAGGCGCCGCCCAGGGGGCCCCAGCGCGGATCCAAGGAACCCGCGCGGAGCACCAAAAGTGTATGTTTATGGCATTTGTTGTGTTGTTATTCTTCTTCGTCTTCTTTTTGTTCCTTCTTCTTCTTTTTCCTTTTCTTCTCGACTGACTACCTACCAGACCACCCCAACCCAACCCGAAGACCCGAATTTCGGGTTGGGGGGGGTAAGGGTTCCATATGTGTTTTTTCGATGTTTCCCGACCCCCCCCCACTGGAAATCGAGGGTAAATCTGAGCCTTCGGGTTGGGTTGGGGTGGTTTGGTGGGTGGTGATCTTCTTCTTCTTCTTCTTCTTCCTCTTCTTCTCGACTGACTGCCCGCACCGCGCCCCCCTCCGCGCCCCCGCGCCGCCCCCTCCCCGGAGAGACGGGCGCCCCTCCGGCCCGCGGCGCGGTGCGCGAGGCGCGGCGAGTCTTCGCCGCCCCCCCCTCGGGCTGGCCCAGGAGAGGGGCGACCACGTGCGAGCCCTGCCCCCTCCAGCGATTTGAAGGGGCCCTGGGACACACAAATAAATACACACAAATAAAAATATTCCCCATATTTTCCCACATTTTCTGGGTTTCTGTCTTCCCCACCACTTCCCATATTTTCCCGTATTTTCCTGGGAGTCGACGATTAATTGTGTCTGTGTGTTTTTTTCCCTCCTGACAGGAGAGGGGCGACCACGTGCGAGCCCTGCCCCCTCCAGCGATTGGCGGCGCGCAGAGGGAGGGCAGGGCGGAGGGGGGGAAGGCTTCTCAGGAGGAGGCCGCTTCTCAGAGGGCGCCGGCCTGTCATCCACAGACGAGGCCCGCGCCTTCGAGGAGGCAGGGGTGCTCCTGATTACGAAGCCTTCCCCCCTCCCCCTATTCCCATGTGGGCGACGCCACAGCGAGGGGCAACGGTTGGGTGGGGAAGCCCTAAAAACGACACGTCCGTTTTTGTGACCGGTTCCGGTTTGCTGTTCTTTTGGCGGATCCGACTCCGTTTTTTGTCGGCTCCGTCGCCGTTCTTCGCTGGCTCCAGTTCCGGCTCCAATCCTGGAGCCGTTTTGTTGCCGTTTCTGGTCTTACATGTTCGATGTTCATTTTGTTCGATATTATGTTGTTCCATATTATTTTGTCTTCTTTGTTGCGTTCTTGCCGCTTACATGTTCGATAGTACTTTTTGGACACGGTGAAAAAATGGCCCTGCCGTTCCGGGGTCCCTCTGAGGCGCTGCCCGCCTCCAGCGAGTGGCAAGGATTTGGGGGAGACTGGCATAAGGGGAGGACACATCTGCCTGGAATCGGCGATACTGAATGGGCCCAAGGACACACAGATAAATACACAAAAATAAACATATTCCCCATATTTTGTCACATGTTCCGGGTTTTCGTCTTCCCCCCACTTCCCATATGTTCCCATATTTTCTGGGGAATCGACGATTCATTGTGTCTGTGTGTTTCTTTCCCTCCTGCGATACATCGCCATCGCCGATAAATCGGCGATGGGCCCCCGATAGCGCGCTCCCACGCTCCTGGGGGGGGGGTTGGGGCTATCAGGCCCCCAGCGGCGATGGAAGGGCGATGGGGGTCCATGCGGCCCTGCCTGCTCCGGAGGACAGGACACACACGGACACAGACAGACTCGCCGACCTCCGAGAAAGTAGGGGACGTACCGGGTCGGGCGAAAGGGGGGGATAGCAAAGGGGGGGGTTGAGAATCGGCTCACGTAGCTGATTTCCCCGGCGCCTCCCGGCCGATTCCAGCTGCATGCAGCAGATTTCGTGACCCCCCCTTTCCCAAACCCCCCCTTTCGCCCGACCCGAAAGTACTGGGGAGCGGAGGGGGAGACGACGGACATCCAGCACGCGTGGGGAACTCTTGGGGAAATCGGTGGACTTGTGCCTCTTCGCCGGTGGGCCCCCGGGGCCCCGTTGCCCGTGCCTTGTCCCCCCCCCCCCGAGCGCGGAGCCCCCGAGCTGCTGCCCAGAGCGGAGCGGCCGGGCGGCGGGCTCTATATAGAAGGCGGGCCGTCTGCAGCCCGGGTGCGACAACGCTTACGGCAGGTTCGTGTCGTGCCGACCCCAGCGTTGGTTTTTGACACCGCAGGGATCGTTCAACCTTGAACGATCGGCCGCTGCCGCAACGTCCGATCGTTCAACATCGATCGATTCTGGGTCGCCGGCGGCGTTCAACCTTGAACGCCCGCGCTGGGGTCGCCGCTGGTCGACACGACGCAAACCTACCGTAAGTCGGGCGTGTCCCCCATACAGGGGAGTTTCCGACGAAAGCTAAAACGCACTCGAGCAATATTCCAACACGGCCAAAAACATGACACAAGACAGGAATCCCCGGACTCTTCTTGTCAATTGTTGAATACTCCCCCTGTAGAGGGACGACAGGCCCGACTTCAGAAAACGCGCCCCCTTTTTGGCGGGGGCGTCCGGCATCGGGGATCTTCTGACCCGGGTCAATCCAGACCCGGGTCAGCAAGAAACCAAAAACTGCAATGCAGGAAAAAAAAGCTGCAACGCAAATCTTCGCAAACCCGGGTCAGCCAATATGCGCGGCCGCCTCGCGGCCACGAGCGGCTCCCTAACCCGGGTCAGCCAGAGGGGGTCTTCGCAGGATCCTGCAGGATCTGGCGCCCTGGCTGACCCCTGTGTGTATTGACCCCCGTCTCAAGGCTCCCGACTTTTGGCGGGGGCGTCCGGCACGCCCCCGGCGCGTGGAGCCGGGGCAGGGCGAGCTGCGACGGCGGCAGCTCCAAGTGGGTCCCCGCAGGCCCCTCCCGGGGTCCACGCGCAGCCAGCTGCCAGAGCTGCGTGCGGCCGCGGCGACGCGAGGGGGCCTCCCGCGGGCCACCCTCCTTCTCCCCCTCCTCCTCCCTCCTCCTCCCTCCTCCTCCTCTCCTCCTCCTCCTCCTCCCCTCCCCCTCCTCTCCTCCCCTCCTCCTCCTCCGCCTCCTCCTCCTCCTCCCTCCCTCTCTCCTCCTCCCTCCTCCTCCTCCTCTTCCTCCTCCTCCTCATCCTCCTCCCCTCCTCCTCCTCCTCCTCTCTCTTCTCCTCCTCCTCCTCCTCCCCCCCCTCCTCCTGCCCGCGCGTGCGTCTCGGTCCGCCCTCTGCGCATCGGTCGGGCCCGCAGGGGGCAGGGCTCGGAAGCCAGAGGCCCTGCGTCTCGATGTGTTCGGTGCGCGGCCTCCGGGGGGCACGACCCCCCCTCCCCGCGGTCGGCTTTTTCGTACACCCTGCGAAATGCGTAAGAAATCATGGGTTAAGAAATTCATAGTCTCAGAACTTGAACAAAACCCAGAACTTCTATCAAAATCTTGGGATTTACATTGAAAAGGTAAGAATAATCGAGACTCTGGACGAAAACTTAGGTTTTCTTAAGCATCGCCTAGGGTGTAGACCGACTCGTGTCTTGACGGTCCCGGGGCCCGGCAGGCGCCCGCAGCAAACTTCGAGGTCGGTCGCAGAGAGGCCGCGAGGGCTGGAAGCTGGCACGGCCCTGTTTTGGCGGCTCGCGTACAAGGAAGGGGGTCATGAGGGGGAGAGGGGGAGGGCTTTTTCGAAGGAGGCTGCTTCTTAGAAGGCGCTGGCCTGACATCTACAGAGAAGGCCCGCGTCTTCCAAGACGCAGGGCTGCTTCTAAGAAGCATTCCCCCCTCATCCCCACGAGAACGTTTTCTTATTCGGCGTTTCGACATTGGGTGGAAGGGGGGCAGGGGGAGGGGGGGGTCTGGCTCCTGACCTCTGCTCAATGCGACTGCTTGCAGCAGTTCGTCCCATGGGGGAGACTCCACCTGCTTGAAGCAGGCGCCAACAGCAGCCAAGATCCACTTACTCCGTGGGGCCTGGAGGGGGGGGGGAGGGGGCGCGAGGGCCCGCGCCGATCGGCGAAGCAGAGACCAAGACAACGATCACCTGCCCCCCCTTCTGCGCGTGGCCGACTGCTTCGGGTGCTCGGCTGTCTCGCAGGAGAGGCTCGCAGGAGCGGCGCACGCCCCGGGCGCTGGGCGCGCCTGCGCCGCGCGAGGGGGGGGGGGGAGGGGGGGCGGGAAGGGGAGGGGGGAGGAGAGACGGAGGGGGGGAGGGGAGGGAACGACAGGAGGAGGAGAGGGAAGACGGAGGCGGGGGGGGAGGAGGGAGGGGAGGAGAGAAGGGGGTGGAGACGAGGAGAGGAGAGGGGCCCCTCCTGCCCCTGCCCCTGTCCAGAGCGTCCCATCCCTGCCGGCCATGTTGGACCACATCACGGTCGCGCACGCGGAATACTTGCTGCCGAGGTTGTTGTTGACCAGGAAGTAGGCCGACGTACCCTCCCGCGCTCTTCTCTGCGTCTCTGGGAGGCCTCGCGCGACAAAACCACGGGGCGTACCGCGCCTTCGTGCGCGCACGCGCGGGAGCATGCCGGACCCAGAGCGACTCGAAGGCACGCACGATGCCCTCGATGGGGCTCTCTACAGAGCTCAGGGGGCCTCCTGGGAGGGCGGAGAATGGAAAGGCTCAGGAGTCTGCGGCAACGGACCGATCACACTCGGACTGGACTGGAGAGGACACGCGAGAGGACGCGAGACCCTCCCGAAGGCCGCATCGCCATCGGAGCCAGAAGGCACGCGTCGCGAGGCACCGGACACAAAGGGCACCCCTTGAGCCGGCAGGGCCGACCTGCCACTCCGGGCCGACCGTATCACCAGCGGGTCTTGCGCGAGATGGCATGGGGATTTTCGACGAAAAATGAAAAATACACAAAAAATACTCAAAAAAGGTAAAAAAAAAAAAAAAAAAAAAAAAAAAAAAAAAAAAAAAAAAAAAAAAAAAAAAAAAATCCCCAAGCTATTTTTGGACTATGGCGACCCCTCGCGGGGCGGCCTTCCTGGGCCGCCAGCGCGGCACGCCGCGCGGGGGAGCGAGGGCGCCCACGCGCGGCCTGGCGCGGGCAGCTTCCGTTGCGCTGGCAGCCGGCGAGCGCGACCCCGATTCTGCGGCGTCGCTCAACCGTAGGAAGGCACCAACTATACACCAACACCGATCCTGGCCCAGGATCACCCTGGGCCCAGGATCGGTGTATACGCCCTCCTGCCTTGCGCAAGAAGGCATATACACCGATCCTGGGCCCAGGGTGATCCTGGGCCAGGATCGGTGTTGGTGTATAGTTGGTGCCCTCCGAAACCGATCCCGGCTGCTCGCCGCACGGTCAGCACCGAGGCTGGACAGCCTGCTCTGGGGAAAACGACACGTGCCGATACCGCTACACCCCCGACCTCTCCCGGGGTGCGTTCTGACCCGGATGTCGAGGCGAATCCGGCGGTGGCGACGAGGGCCGCCCAGGAAGCCCCCCCAAAAAGGGGAAATGAGAGCAGGGTAGAGCTATGGGTACCTTTTCCTCCTCTGATGCTCGGCAGCGCGCTGGTGCGTTGGCACGGGGCAGGTCCGCAGTATCCGCTGAGAGGGCGAGGCAGCCTCGGGAAGGCGTTCCCGCGCGGAGCGCGCCGCGGCCGTGGGCACGAAGAGGCGGCGCGGGCCCACGTCTGCCGCCGACGCCGCGCTGACAGTACGGCCGAAGACGGCCCTCGCAAAAGGGGCCGAAAATGTCGGCACACCCTCATACGGCAACGCGTCGTCATCGCCGTCACCATCATCACAATCACTCACTCTCGTCATCATCACCCTCACTATCATGATCGTCGCCATCGCCATCATCACAACAAACATTGCCATCGCCACCAACGCCGTCGTGGTCATCCTCTCCGTCGTCGCCATTCTCATCAGTAAAATAATCATCAATATCAGTATCAGTAGCCTCATCATCATCAGCATCATCATCAGCATCATCAGCACCACCACCACCATCATCACCATCATCATCATCATCAGCACCACCACCATCATCACCATCATCATCATCATCATCATCATCATCATCATCATCATCATCATCATCGTCATCGTCATCGTCATCACCATAATCGCAACCACCACCACCCACCATCAGCAGTCGCATCATCACCATCACCATCATCCTCATCAGCATCAGAATAATCAGCAGCATCATCATCACCATCATAATCGCCGTCGCCCTCGTTCATCATAACTACCACCATCATCCGTTTTGAAGGGACCCTGGGACACACAAATAAATACACACAAATAAAATGATTCCCCATATTTTCCTATATTTTCTGGATTCTTGTCTTCCCGCCCAATTCCCATATTTTCGCATATTTTCTGGGGAGTCGGCGCATAATTGTGTCTGTGTGTTTTTTCCCCTCCTGACGTTTGTGGGCTCAGGCTCGTCAGCACCATCACCGCCATCACCGCCATCAGCACCCTCGTCAGCGCCATCGCCCGCCTCGGCTCCCGCCCGCGATCCTCGGGAGCCACGCCCGCGGGGCTCCCCCCAGTGCGCTCGTGGCCGAGGCCACGCACGGCGGCGAGCATGGGGGGGGGGCAAGGAGAGGGGGGGACTCATCGACCTGGATGGGCAGCAGGAGGAGGGGGGGGAGGAGGAGCAGGAGGAGGAGGAGGAGGAGGAGGAGGAGGAGGAGGAGGAGGAGGAGAAGGAGAAGGAAAGGAGGAGAAGCAGGCGGCGGAGGAGGGGGGGGTGCACTGACCTGGAGTCGGCGATACCTCGCCGACAGCTCGGCGATGGGCCCCCGATGGTGCATCCGCACCTTCCTGGGCGGGTCGGGGCTATCCGACCCCACATCGGCGACCAGTTGGCGACCAGGGGTCGATGCGTCCCCTCCCATTGAAGGGGCCCCAGGACACACAAATAAATACACACAAATAACAGGATTCCCTAGATTTCCGCATCTTTTCTGGCTTTTTGTCTTCCCCCCCACTTCCCGTATTTTTCCATATCTTCCTGGGGGTCGACGATTACCTGTGTATGTGTGCTTCTTTCCCTCCTGACCCATGCCTATCCCACCCCACCGCTGCCCCCGAGAGCAGCAGCAGGCGCCGCCGACGCAGCTCCTCGCGCTGGCGCCGGACAGGCCCCGCCAGAGGCGCCGCAGAGCGCCCCGCCGCGGCGGACCGCGCCGTGCGCGCACGACGCCGGGGCCCCACGCGACGCCCGGCGCCGAGACCGGCGACCACCTCCTCCTCCTCCTCCTCCTCCTCCTCCGCCTCCTCCTCCTCCTCCTCCTCCTCCTCCTCCTCCTCCGCCTCCTCCTCCTCCTCCTCTCTCCTCTCCGGAGGAGGAGGGGGGGGGCGTGCGTGTCTCGGGCGGCGCACCCGAGACACGCACGCCCCCCTCGCGCCGAGACGCGCAACCACCTCGGCGTGAGGGCCCTGCAGGGACTCCTCAGGGCCCCCTGCTGGCTTCACTTCAAAAGGGGCCCCACGGGGCCCCCGTGGGCTTCTGTCAACTGGCCCTCATGGCCACCCGCGCGAGTTGTTGGAGCGGCCGCGGCGATTCAGTACTTTGACTCGCGACGTCGGGCGCAGGGCGCGGACGCGGGCGCCCGGTGCTGCAAGTCCCACCAGCCCTTCGGGCGTGAGTGGTTTAGCGAGCTTTCTCTGTCCTCAACCCCCCAACCCTCCTTCTTCCCCTTCGGGGAGGGGTTTACCCCTCCCCCTACCCCCTCCCCCTGGACCTGGAGAGGGGGCCTCGCGGGTGGTTGGAGGGGTCTTTTTCGACTCCTGGGAGGGCCAAAAAACGACGACCCTCACGAGGATTCTGGCCCCGAGGGGGGGGAGGGAGTTTGGCGCCTGAACTCGTCGTTGAAGTAAAAAAAATGGTTTTACTACGGTTTTGGCCGCATTTTGGCCTTCTGAAGGGGGCCGCGTTCCTCTTCCTTCTTAGCAAAATCATTGATGTTACGAAGGTTTTGGGCTGATTTTGTCCTTCTCAGGGGTCAGCGCTTATTAGCGCTTCTGAGGAGGTCGCAAGAGACACGAAGATAGCCCCAAGAGGCCCCCAGGAGGCTCCCAAGAGGCCTCCAGGAGGCCCCCAAGAGGCCCCCCAGAGGGCCCTAGAGGTCCCCTCGAGGCTCCCAAGAGGCCCCCAAGAGGCCCCAAGAGGCTCCAAGAAGCCCCCAAGACGCCCCCAAGAGGCCCCCCAGACGCCCCAAGAGCTCCAAGAGGCCCCCAACAGGCCCAACGAGGAGCCCGAACGACTCACACCAGGACGACAGACCCCAACGACTCACACCACGAGGAGCCCGAACGAGTCACACCACAAGGAAGGGCCCGAACGCCTCACGCCAAGACGAGGCGCCCGAACGACTCACACCACGAGGAGCCCGAACGACTCACACCACGACGCGGGCCCTCAACGACTCACACCACGAGGAGCCCGAACGAGTTACACCAGGAGGAGGGGACCGAACGACTCACACACAAGGAGGGGACTCACACCACGAGGAGCCCGAACGACGTACACACAATGAGGGGCCCGAAGGAGTTACACAAGGAAGGACGAGGGGCCCCAACGACTCATACCACGAAGAGCTGGAACGACTCACATATCTGCAACGCACACAGACGCGAACACTCGCATTATCGCTGGCGTGCCTGCATGTCCTCGAGCGATAGCCGCCACAACGCTGCTACAACGAGGGCGGGGCCAATGGGGCAAGGAGTGAAACATGCATCATAACAACAAGTGGCCAATCCCACCAGCCCTTTGGGCGTGAGTGGTTTAGCGAGCTCTCTCTGTCCTCAACCCCCCTTCTTCCCCTTCGGGGAGGGGTTCACCCCTCCCCCTTACCCCCTCCCCCTGGACCTGGAGAGGGAGTCCCGAGCGTCGTCAGGGGGGTCTTTTTCGACTCCTTGGAGGGCCAAAAAACGACGACCCTCACGAGGATTCTGGCCCCAGGGGGGGGGGGGGAGTTTGGCGCCTCAGCTCGTCTTTGAAGCCAAACACATTGATTTTACGAGGGTTTTGGCCCCATTTTGGCCTTCTGAAGGGGGCCGCGCTCATCTTCCCTCATAGCAAAATCATTGATTTTACAAAAAAAGTTTTGGGCTGATTTTGTCCTTCTCAGGGGGCAGCGCTCATCTGCGCTTCTGAGGAGGTCGCAAGAGGCCCCAAGATGGCCCCAAGAGGCCCCCAGGAGGCTCCCAAGACGCCTCCAAGAGGCCCCCAAGAGGCCCCCCAGAGGCCCCTAGAGGTCCCCAAGAGGCCTCCAAGAGGCCCCCAAGAGGCCCCAAGAGGCTCCAAGATGCCCCCAAGGGGCCCCCCAAGAGGCCCCCAAGAGGCCCCCAAGAGGCCCCAAGAGGCCCCAAGAGGCTCCAAGAGGCCCCCAAGAGGCCCCACGAGGAGCCCGAACGACTCACACCAGGACGAGAGACCCCAACGACTCACACCACG